TAAATAAACATCACCAAAAACCTGAAAAAAAAAAACAACTGACGACAACCATATCTGACATTTATTACAGTATTTATGGAAACGCTTTATACTACACTTTATACAATAAATCTACAGCAGATTTGTAACCTTCACTGCTGAGGTAAGGGCGAGAGTATTTTTTTTACCACGCGAGTCGTGAGTTATAATACTGATCTTTTTAACCATAGTACCTTTTTGTGTATTATAAATCTCATACAACATTCGTTTTATTGACCAAAAGTGAGTGTATGTGTGTGTGAGCGTGTGTGTGCGTGTGTGTGTGTGTGCTTTAGGACGTGCTTACAACTACCACGCGCCCCAAAATTTACCACAAGAAACTAGATCTATGGGGCTTGGGTTCTCATAGCGGGGAGAGAAGGAAAAGATTACGTGTTGATTACTTTAAAGCGAGTACACGCAGAATAGAAAACTGTCAAAGAATTAAGACAATATTTTTAAAGTACTATAATATACACCACAATATATACCTAATATGGAGTTGTTTACAACAAACACGTAATGTTTAAATTATTAGTACAATAATTTATGGCGATACCCAACAACGTATCCAAAACTACGTAGATTAGAATGGGTTGTTTTTTGACTTGTTCTACTGTTATTCAGCCAAAAACTTAATACCATCAAGATTAGATTTAGTTGTTTTTTTCTGTAATCATGAACAAATGCTGCACTAAAGTGCGATACTACTGCAGACATGCATTCCTGGTGCTCACTTTCCCTCGCTATGTCTCGCGCAAATTAGGCCAGTCATTACCTCTTACTCACTCGTTAATTACTGACACCCAGCTGGTGTCACCTCACCCACAATGCATTGCATGACGCCAATCTACCGCGGAGCCTGTGTGACCCTGACCTTCACCCCTGACCCGTCCCTTGATCTGCGCCGAGCCTGCGCGACAAGGGTGATGGTATCAGGTCGCAGGGACGAATCCATGTCGCCGCTGGTCTAGCTTACTGTAAACTTCATTCCCGGATCGACAACCGCCCGCCATCTTGATCGCGCGCGCAACAAACAAAAGAGGAAGTGACGTCATCAGACGCGCGATCGTGACGCTGTTTGATTCTCTCGACAGAAAGTTTAAAATAGGATCAAATTATTTAAAAAATTGAAATCCCCCGTTATCGTTTATTTCTAAACAAGACTTTTTGTCGGGGGAAGACATTGCGCCCCCCAGCGGGATCAGGCGTCGGAGGGGTCCTATCGCTCGATCGGATGTTTCGTTACAACTCACAACTGCCTCGGCGCTTGTTTAACTCTCCTGGCACCAGGCAAATAGGTCAACCGTCTAGTAATCGACGTAACTCTGGAACCGGAAGTGAGTAATGGCGGCCACCGATCAGATTAGAAGTTCTAAAACCCATTTATTTACAGCAAAACTTGCTAGTTGATAAGAATTATCTCCGCTTTGCCATTGCACTGGAGGCCTGTTTGTTACAATAGCAGCTATATGTTTTTGGTTATCATACATTTTCTTCTTTTATTTTTTGGTGTTAGGTTTTGATTAACAAAGCAGTTCTATAGAAGAACCGTTTGACGAGACCTTTCGAATACACGCTTCCGAGGGCGATTGCCTTCCTCCAACCACTCTGCTTAAGCTTACATCCGGACCATAACTTTGACTTATTTGCCCTAAAAGTCTTGCTTGTTAAATCGAAACCAGACCAAAGCTATCGTGAATTGTTTTTTAAATGTGTTGTAGAGATTTGTCATCACGTCATACGCCATAACTAAAGCGGGTTTTAAATATCAATTTTCGTTTTTTAATTAAGAAAATTAACAAATAAATCTAAACCATGCAAACACATAAGCTGGAAAAGTGTGATTTATATAGAGAGAAAGATGTGATTTAGATGCACGTGCTTGCACACAAGCCACTTACCTACTCACCTTGGTTACCTTGGTTACCTTGGTTTAGTGAGGGAAGAAGTGCTGTCAGGCTATAGGTAACTGACACCACTAGGTTTTGAACCCTGGACTGTCGTGATGTATTCATCAGATCTGTCGCGCGACCTCATAATTGTTAACATTGTGCATAGTAAATATTAATGGCGAGGTAGGGGGTGAGGGGGGGGGGACTGGATGGCGCAATTTCAGAGTAATTTATTTATTTTATCTAGTGAACATATTTACTCTGCTCAAACATAAATTCAGCATCAACATTTCGTGATTTCGTAACGTGGGAAAAATGACAGTTCATTGCGAAAATGTAGACACGGAAACGGTCAGCCAAGTCGATGCATCTGTAGCTAACTCTATCAATACGACAGTCTCCACTCTTTGCCTGCACATCTCAACACCCCAGCCTAACATACAACACTTCAGCCTCCCCAACAACACCCTAGCCTCCCAGCGCCCCCCCCCCCCACGACACCCCAACCAACACCCCTCTCCTCTAATGACCTACGACACCACTCGACCTTCACCTAATTGAGCGTGCGACAAACATCACACGAGCCGGCGTTAGATTCTGGCAATTAAGGGGAACTAACCGAAACAAAGGGAGGTTAGAACTCAGTTAATGTTTTAATCACTGCAAGCGGCTACCAGGCAAATGTTAACAGAATGTCAACATTATATCTGGATGAAAGATAATTAGGCCGGAGTTTGGATCATAACCGTGTAATTAGTAGCTGGAGCTAATCTTGTATCTGTCAGACACGTTGCTGTGTTGGAGACATTTCAAATGTGAACAACAGGTGACATGTGTTTGTAATCGGCGAAATTCCACGGCTATAAAATAAACTAATCTAAAAGGATATTTCTACAACAAAACGCAATAATGGTCAATTTTTATGGACATCTCTCCGTGTGTGTGTGTGTGGGGGGGGGGGGGGGGGGGGGGGTTGGAGTGGGAAGGGAGGCTAGGGTGCACTGCTAGGAACAAATTGACCGCCCTTCTCCGGACGAAATATATATATATATATATATATATATATATATATATAGTTTTAATAGAAAATAATATAAGTTTAGCCACTGCCCCCCCCCCCCCCCCTCCACGAAGTTTCAACTGCCTTCAAAGAAGTCCACAAGTGCCTCCGACAAACCCCCCTCCCCTCGGAAAAACGTCTGCTCTATATCAGTGTGGGGTACAGTTTTGTCTCACCTTATAATAGTTTGCTAACTCCATTATATTTAAAGTCTTGGATTCATATACATGATTTCCTGTGATTAGTTCGTTACGATACGTTTCAGTTTTTTTTTTTTTTTTCTCTCTTTGTCATTTAATTCAGGAAAGTAGATACCCAAAATAAGGAATTTAAGATAAGCATCAAGACAGTGTAAGGCTTGGCTTAAGGTATATAATTTGAGAAACTTCGTCACACAGTTTATACAGTGTCAATAAAAACACGAAACATATAGATCTAGTCTATCACAAACCATCTCGCTAACCGGATAAAAGTCTATTACAAAACACCTCGCTAACCTGCTAAAAGTTTACACAAACCATCCCGCTAACCCGCTAAAAAGTTTACCACAAACCTTCCCGCTAACCCGCTAAAAGTTTACACAAACCATCCCGTTAAAGGCTTTGCGGGATGGTTTGCGATAGACTGTAAAGCTGTCTTATATTGAGGTGACAGGCTAACCTCTAACTAAAAACTACTTCCGGCAACACCCACACCATCACCCATTAACTAACGATATAAAAGTAGACCCGTACCTCACCCACTTACCCCCCAGTCCACACGGCTCCTTTATATCTTTTCAATTGTCTTTCCTCATCCACCCCCTCCCCCCACCCCTTCCACCCACCACCACATAGGCGTCGCGACCAACAGCGTCGTAGACTAAACGAGGCGGTGTAGCATAAACTAAGACTCGCGATAAAACAACAGGTATATACAGTCGACAGAGACTGCGCAAAGAGCAACACCGCCTTGTTGTGAGAACGGGACTCTCTGCTCGGGGAGTTCAAAGCTTGGGGGTGGGGGTGAGAGGGGCGCGGGGGTGTGGATGGACTGAAGACCCAGAGATCTGTTTCTTGTCAAACTTGTTAGTTTACCATCTAGACTTGCCAGTTTACCATCTAGACTTGCCAGTTTACCAGCTAGACTTGCCGACTTCAGTGTCAAGTAGATTTTTATTCTATTCTTCAAGAGTGACTGTAAGTTTCAGTACGCATCAACTTTACAGGCCGTTTAGCTTTAAGTCAATACCGTTCTCTTAATTTCATTTCTACTGTGATGTGTATTCACTATTAATTGCAACGTTTAGTTTTCTTAATTATATTCTTATCTCTAAGTATTGTTAAAATATAAATGGTAGAGATGTCCACACAAATGTAGCATAAATCTACATTTTGAGGTAAAATATATCTTTAACAACGCAACACCCAGAACGATTATTAAACTGAACTAACATCGTTGCACTCAATAATTAACACAAATTATCACCGATTTAAAACGCGGGCATAAAACCGAGCCCTCCTTATACATGATTTAAAGAAGTTCATGGCTTAGTAAACCTATCAATGAGGTATAGGGCAGTACATCTTGTAGTAGTGACACTATCATATCAAATAAAATGTCCATAACGAACATAAAATATAAACTATTTACAGCAGTATTTGACTGATTAAAACAAAACTTTGTTAAAATTGGCAATTGACCTTTATTTTATTTGGTATTACCCTCTACCCCCTCCTCTTTAGAATATTGGTCAAGGCTTATCCGTTGTTAAATTCAGCCGTGTCTAAAACAACAACGAACTTTGCCGTGGCTAAACAAAGACTCGGCTACTTCAAACTAAATTTCTAGTGGTCATTATGAAACAGAAAGCACTAAACAAACACGTTATATTGGTGATTGTTTTAACCTTTTTTGATATATTTGTTTGATTGAAATACACAAAGAAAACTAATTAACAACAGTAGTTGGTTCAATTGTGTTACGTAACAAAAACCTAATCCAAACAACACCCAGGCAACACGTAACGGCCGCCATTTTGTTTCCAGACGATTCTAAACTCCATGCACAAGTACCAGCCCCGCCTCCACATCGTCAGGGCGGGGGACTTCCTGTCCCTTCCCTTCTCCGCCTGGAAGACCATCACGTTTGAGGAGACGGTCTTCATCGCAGTCACGGCGTATCAGAACGAGAAGGTGAGTCTTGTCATGTAGAGGGTGAGCAGTGTTTCTTTCATGCATCTTTTCAGGAGAGGGGGGAGGGGGATATTGCCTCACCCCCCTTCCCCCGAAACACGCCTACTGACCCCTACTCCACCCCCAGAATGAAAGGAATGTATCTAAAGTCGTACTTTTAACCCCCCCCCCCCCCCACCTTTCCGAAAATTTCAAGTGCCCATCCTGGAGAAAAAAGTCTGAAAGAAACACTTATAGTCAGTCTACGCTGTCACAAACTAGGCAATATCATTATGCCAATGAGATGATAAAATGCATGTTGTTGTCAAAGATATGTCACCTTCGTATTGGCATTGAGGAAACTCCTTTCTGACAATGAAAACTCACTATTGCCACTAAAAAGGTAAATCTATTCTGTCAGTGGGAAGGTAAGCACACGTTGGTGATAAATTCACATGAGCACCCCCCCCCCCCCCCCACCGAAAATTTGTTACCGCCCCCCCCCCCCCCCACACCCTCCGAACGAAATGAAATTTATAAAATTTATATAGAAAAGATATACTTTTAACAGTGTCCGCCCCCCCCCCGAAGAAAATTTACCCCCCCACCGAAAATCTCAAGTGCCCCCCCCCCCCCCCAGAGAAAAAAGTCTGGAAGAAACACTGGTTTATAACGTTCACACAAATGTTTTTCCAGATCACACAGCTGAAGATTGACAACAATCCGTTCGCCAAAGGATTTCGGGATACTGGCGGAGGCAAACGCGAGAAAAAGTAAGTATTCATATCTACGTCACTTCCGGTAAATACTGTTGTCTACGTCACATCCTGTTTTCACTATTTTTACCTCACCTTTAAAATTACATTTAACATTTAACGATTAGAGGTTTTTTCTTTCTTCCTCTGACATTTCAAAAATAAATTCCGAAGTGACGTCGGTAGATACAAAGTAGATAAGCGTTTAAAATCTTGACTTTTAAATGACTCGTCTTGACGGTTGAAGACGTTGGCTCACATTTCTGTGACAAGTTCCACAAAACTTGACCGACAAGGCAGAAATCGAATTCGCCACCAGCGCGAAAATTAGCCCTCTGCCGGTCTTTATCTTGGCCGTGCTGTAGCCGGCAGCCGGCAAGATTTCTCCGGTCAGCGCGGCCGAGCCTTCAAACATCAGATAAAAAGACTCGATTAGAGAGTTGATTAACGCTGAATCTGTTCTAATTGACCTTTGTACCCGACAGAAAACGGGCCGTTATTTTCCCCCGAATGTGAGCAGAACCGGGTCCGGCTTCTTGAGGAAAATCGTGCAAACATTTGCATGAATGCGGATACGGCGCGACTACAGGGACTTCGCCCGGGGGTCGGGCTTGCACGCGATTAATACTATATTATTTAGTGAGCCAAAGGTTGGAGGGAACTACATCGTGAGCAAATTAGGCGTTTCCTCCCACGAGTAATGACCGCTTTATGCAAACACTGGGACCACTGGTAAACGGGTTAAAACCCGCGGGTTCCCCCCAAAATGGGGACATTCTTCAGATGTTGAAAGATCTCTGGGAAAATTGAGATGACCCCCAGAATCGCGGAGGTTCATTTGAGATAGTATTCACCGGCCAACTGTCATGGCGGTCAAAAAATGACGTCGACACCAAGAGGTTCAATTAGGTTTGTGATTAGAAACGTTGTGTGTGATGGAACTAGTCGGCTGACCCGTAGTTGTCACGGAATCTGTGAAGTGTAGCTAAATATGGGACAGTTTGTGTAAAAAATACGGAAACAAGATTTTTGAGGTTGTAGCTTTTAAAAAAAAAATACTAGTTCAATTGAGAAATAGATAACAAATCACCCGCTAGAACACAATTTGAGTAATGCCGTTTAAAAAAGTCGTATGTAAGCAATAATGTATATTGGCAATACTTCCGAGGAGATTAACTTACTCTGGTCTCATTTAGTTAAAAAATTAATTGTGTAAGGCCTTATCATGACGGACAGTATTGAAACTGAATGGTGCAATCGAAAAACTGGTCAAATATTTTACATTTAGCCTCGATTCCTTTAACTACAATAGAAGCTAGAACTAGAACGTTGGTAGTAACATATTAGTCGGGGTATTACAGTCGAATATTAGATCATTCTTGGTTAAGCTTGGGGTACTAGACATTGGATTAATATTGTTTTATGTAGCTTTAGATATTTGTTTGCAGCTAGTTAATGTAGGCTTAGACATAGGTTTGATACTTAATCATGATAATCCCCCCCCCCGCCTATCTCCCCAGACGACTCGCTATCCAGGCAGCCAGCGAGTGCTCACCCTCCAAACAAGTCTGCAGCCCCACGAGCACCAACACCAGCACCGGTGTCAAGGTCACAGCCGAGTCTGGCGCCAACAGCAGCCTGGCCGAGGAGGAGGGCGAGGACGAGGGTGGAGAGAACCACGAGTACGACGTGGACAGCGATGTCGACGTGGACAGGTCGGATGATGACGATATTGTTGTGGATGACAGGGCACACCTGAGTAAAACAACAGGTAAGGATTCGTCTCCATCCCAACCTGTTCAAATAAATCTACAGTATTTAACACACAGTACATTTGATAATGTGGTATATAAACAGATAGCATATTGCATTTTGATAATATTTTTAAGTTATAATAAATACAGAAAAATAATTTAATATGTAATAAGATTAGTATCTATAATTTTGATCATCGAAAATTTATTTCAAATTTAAGTTAAATAAACGTAGTACTTTTAATCCGAGGCGTAACGTTTAATATTTCTGTTTAATCCGAGGATTAACGTGTAATATTTCTGTATGCAGGAATCGTGAACAGGGAGGATGAACGGTGCCAGGTAGCCTCAACGTCACATCTGGATAACCCGGATGTAGATTTATGTCAGTCGACCTCACATCCGGTCAGCTCTGTTCAAGGTCACCGCAAGCAAACAGACCCCCAGCGTGTTATGTCACCCCAGGTGGACAGCAGTGTGTCACCACACGGTCGAGGCAGCAGGTCACCAGTCAGGGCGTGGTCACCACGGCCCAACTGCTATAGGTCACCACCGCCACGTAGCAGTGTCTCACCACGCTGCAGTGTGTCACCAGAGCGAAGAGGATCCGAGTCACCGTCCGCAACATGCGACGGTTCAGACAGACCCCAGGTGAAGCATCCAGGTGACGTAGCCAGAACACAAGCAGACGACACGAACGATGACTCGGACAACGAATCTTACCGAGCCAGTCCCAGGTCTCCACAGACGAACACGACTTCTCGAAAAAGCGAAGACTCAAATTACGAACACATCGACACTACTTTAGCCGATAAAAGCGCTTTCAACGCCGCCTCGGCGTCAAGCAGACTCGATCCTCGACCTTTTGAGAAGTTCGGCTACGTGTCCGGCCTGGTCCACCCGGAAGTACAACTCCCCCACCCCCTGGACACCGGCTTCTACCAGTCATTCGTCTACCCCCACATGAACATCGCTAGCAGCATCTTCTCATCTGCTGCCCTATCCGGGTCATCACCTTTGTCGTCTGCCAGCTTATCGTCACTTCCGTTCCCATTTCCACCAATGATGGGACAAATCCCTGAACACATGACTGACCCTGATTCTATAAATAGACGCTTACCACTCTACTTCCCGTTTCACCATTTCTCCACACCTCTTCGGGAAAGTCCGTACCGGCCGTACGATCCTCAATACAAGCAAGGCAGTGAGCAAGCCGCGAAGACCGTTCAATCCCGGTTCTCGTTCCAGTCTAGCGTCACACGACCGGGAGCCGTAGCGGCTGCCGCAGCTGCTAAAGCTGCTGCAGATGCGGCTGCGGCGGCGGCGGCGTTGACAGTCGGGGGAACGGTGTTGAAATCAGGGGCGGATACTTTCATCACGTCCCGGGACAAATCCCCGGACCAAATTTTATCCAGGGAGGTCCATAAAAACATGGATCCAGTGTTATACAGACCCCACACCCACCACAGCCATAGATCCGGTCACATAACTGACGCGGACAACCTACCACGATCTAGAGAACCTAAACCTACACCAGAAACTGATGCATACTCCACGTTTGAATACCGCCACAGACACCGTGATCAATCTCCGCTTAGAAAACACCCACCAGCTAACTATAAACCTCATGAAATTAGAGATGATTCTGTCAACTTCCGGTCGGAATCTTCGGAAACGAAAGTAGAAGAAGGAACCGGAAATACCCGTGTGAGCGTATCAGAGACAAGTATAAAAAACGAGAGCGTAGATAAAGTCTCGAGTACGAGACGAGAACCTGCGAGAAAATCCTACGACATCTCGTCGCTTATTAAAATTGACGAGACAAAAGACGAAACGCCCCCCGCCCCACGCGACCCCTCCCCTCAGCGTGTGTCGCCCTACTCCTACGAAATGGGAGAGATCAGCAAGTCGCAGTTTCTGCGGGACAAGCCTCACCTGACCCCGTCTCCCTTCCACTCCCGGCACCACCCGACGCCATCCTCCCTCCACCAACACCACCACTTCCACCACCACTTCTACCGGCATCAGCTCATGCTGGCAGCCGACTCCATGAACAGAAAAATCTTCGCGGAAACATCAGCGGCGTCATCCTCCCTGTTGTCCCCCACGTCGTCACGCGCGCTGCCAACAACGGAGCAGCTACCCAGAGACTCCAGTGTGTCGGTAGGCCGCGGGACTCCGCCCAGCCACTTCTCTCTCATGCAGCACTGCATCAAAGACAGGCACCACATAATGCCTGATGCCCAGGGTTATGACAGCCAGATTAGAAATATGCAAATGATGCTTCGCGGACTAAAGGAACCGAAATCGAGTTGATCACCCCAAATGATAGTGAGTAGTTTGGGGTCAACTGATTTTTTATCATAAAGGGCTTTTTAATTGTCTGCCCACAAACAAATATTTAAAAATCTGAACCAAAGTCACAAAAATAATGGAATAATTTTCCCGGGATTAAAGAATGTCACCTACTGTGAACTAAAGTAACATCAGGTAAAATTATGCAAATTAAAAAAAATAAAAATAATAATAAAAATAAGAAGAAGAAGAATTAAAAACTTTTTGTACACTTTTTTTTTATAAATAATATTTATATATAGAAAAATATATTGTAGTTTATATGTTAGAATAGGTCAGATATGTTAATTTGTTCTTGGTAGTTCTAATTAAGCTTCTTGATATAATTATGTGCATGTGTAATGTGATTGGATGAATATTAAAGTATTGTCGTTGTTAGAGACATTTGATCTAAAATTAGATTGATAATATACATGCGAATTACGTTTGAATGGTAGTTTTACACGTTTGGTAGGATGCTGTTTTAGGGTCAGGCAAAACTTCCAGTGATGGCGCCATAGTTAGGCTTTTGGTAGGTTGATTTGGTTTTAGCTAGGTTGATTTTGTTTCAGTTGGATTGTGTTTGAGCGATACAGTTGTATTTTAATGAAGACAGATCAGGTTAAGGTTCAAACTAAAATCTTGAGGCTGGTAAATGGGTTGTGGGTTGTGGGGGTGGTACCAAGGTTGTAGGTTGTGGTTGTGGTATCAGGGTTGTGATTTGGGGGCGTGGTAACACGGATGTGGTTGTGGTACCAGGGTTGTGGGCTGTGGTTGTGGTACCAGTGTTGTCGGTTGTGGTTGTCGCACCAGGAGTGTTTGTTGGGGTGTATTATCAGGGTTGTGTCTCGGCTCGAATGAGCTTAGAGCTGCTACCCCTCTGCACATTAGAGTCGACATTTTAAATCAATAACTGTAAATAGGAAAGGGTGGG